ACTGAAGGTTAATTTGGGATCCTGTTTGTAGACTTGCCAGTTGCCAGCAGAAATGAGACTTATAGCCTGTGACTGTCACATTACTCTGACCCACACTCTGCCAGCTTTGCAGTAAGTGCAATGAAGCATGATTCAAAATATTACCACAAAGTCACTTTGTGGGCTGCATTATTATATCGATGCTTATGTTGCCTCTTGGTAATGGAGCCTGAACTCTTAGGCCATTCTTATAAAACTTTCATACCTTTTCTACCCTGGCACTTATTATGCACGTGGTCTGCTTCACTAGTGTGTCATCAATATAGACAATATAGTGTTGACTATAGTGCTAAAGCATTTTGTGTATTGATTTTAAAAACTAGTGGCGACAGTATGGCCAAACCTGTCTCACAGTGTTTCTTTAACATTCTGGCAGCTTCACTGTATATCACGGCATTATTAGAAATGGTTTTTATTATTATATTCAGTTAAAATAGTTGAATGTCAAACAATGCAATGCCATCATTAAAAACTTTCCAGCAAAGAACAAAGACAGAGAATCATTTGGTTATCGAGCAACGTTGCATTTGTGTTCCAGGTTTCTTAAATGTGAATGTGTGGTTTCAGTGGAGCTCGAGCCCATCACAGCTGTTATAGGGCAATAGTTTTGGGACATCCTGGACAGGTTGCCAGTCGGCCTCAGGATCAACACTAATAGCTAGTTCAGAATCACCAGTTAACCTAACCCCATGAATACCTTTGAAGTGTGGGGTGAAGCTCACAGTGACATAGGGAGAACATGCAGTTTCCATACAGGACCTTGTAGCTGTGACCTCTTTCCAAACTGTGACGCCAACTTGGAATTCTGTTTAAACAAAACGAAACCAAAAAAATGACCATTTGGTGTCCTGTGATGAACTGACAACCTATACAGTGTGTACACCGCTGGCTATCTGAATAGAGCTGCCCGAGCCTGCCTCTCCTCAGTTGCCTCCACCAAGTCTTCTGGGGATGACACCAAGGAGTTAAGAGTAATGTCTGTAATATCTGCAGTATGTGCCATCCAGGAGGCATTCCACCTTAGCTGGGTTCTTTTGAAATAGCCAAAGAAAATAAGAAAGAAGTCTTGGTTTTGCTTCTAGTGGGGCAACTGCTCTGGGTTTCCCCCTTGCTTCTCACCACAGCTGGGTATCATGAATATGTTTTCTTTTTTTAGAGCATTAGGTCTGTCGGATGCATCCAACTGTGAGCTCACAAACTTGCAAAACGGAAGCAGTGTATGGGGAAGGTGTTTTTCTTGTTTCTTTGACCAAAGTGCATGAATCTGCTCCATCTCAACAAGACAGAAAAACACACAGATCTTTATGCAGCATTTCCTCTTCTGGCTTTTTTTGTGATGTTCAGGATTAAAAGTTGTTTTTCACCTGATCTGATAGGCGAATGTGCTCAGCCACTTTAAACGTCCGATGCAAATCAGTGGAGCTGAAAGACGCTTTGTTGACAGTTCGGGTTTAGTAATGCAGTGGATTAGTCAGAGAAGCTGATTTATTTCTGAGGTTGGGACTGTGTTAATGGAATGTGCCACCGTCTTGCCCTTTGCCTTGTTCAGATGGATGAATGCCCAATAATCTACATGGTCTCTGTATTTTCTCTGCTCTAGTTTAAAGACTTCGCTGCTTAGGTCGTCCCCGCACTAATGCCCATCCTCGCAGTGGTGCGCTGATGCACATTTCCTTATGCTCTGCATTATTCATATCCACCAATTGGTTTATTAGCTGATATTTGTTCGATTAAAGGCTACAAGAGAGTTATGCAAACGTGTTAGGAAGAAAATCATTACAGCTAAGTGCGCTGTCTTGTACTTGAAAGCTCATAGGTTCAATTTCCATAGCTCCCAATGACTTATGAAGTGTGATACAACTAGATGTAAGATACAACTTGTTTTCAACAGTGTCAAATTAAAAAATAGGGCATTTGTGAAATAAATAGTCTTATCTAATCTAATTTCCTAAATTCCTTAATTTGTATAACCATTAGTCTAAAATCTCAAAGCTGATCAGTGTACTAAAAGAAAATGAGTAAAGCAGGCTAAACGTGGGATTATGGATCACATTTCATAGATTATGAGGTAAATTATGTGTGAGTTTAATGAGCAGTTATTGTTGTAACTGCTTGGATCCAGCTTGGTTACTTCCATGTTTTGTTTTTGTGTTGTTTGTTGACCTGGCTCAACTTTAAAATAATCAGCAGAAACTGGCTCGCATTCTCCCAAGAAACTCACAATGTAGACGTACTACCTTGTTTCAATTCCAAGGCAGTTCAATGGTGTTTTAATGAGCCACTGACTTTCACTGTGCATTCTAATGGTCCTGTGCTTTCCTGGCTCACTGTACCATTAATGGTGCATGTTGTTAATTCATTCTTGTTGGACGAGCAGCCCAGAGTCATTTGTGATATTTCTTTTGTATTCCGTTCTGAGGCTCGAAGTCTCTGTTTCATTTCCTCGGTTTACTCTGCAGCCCTGCTGTCCATCTCCTCCCACCCTCCTGGCATTTATTTTCTTCTCCCTCTGGGGAGTGATTCTCCCCGACATCGCTACACGCCCTGGCCAGATGTTGAAACTTAAATACGCCATTCATCAGCCCACAGACTCAAGTAGGGGCGATGACCCTGGAAAGACATTGTTAGTATACAAAGCTCACACACTCACCGCCTTTACTCATAGATTCTCTTCCCACCCTGCACATTTAAACCAAGACATTTCTGGTGTGAGTAACTGTCCAATTTCTGGTTCTGAAAATGGCCTCTTGAGAGCTTAAACTTCAAAAACAAGATTCTAGTGTGTGATTAGAAATGAAGATTTGCAGCCAAAATCTTTTTCATTGAGGCCAATTTATTGTGTCCATTATTTTCTCTGCAGTTAATTCCAGAGTAATGGTATCATTCAAGAGCCAGATAAGTTACTGAACTTGATTTAAAAAAATAAAAAATGTTTAAGTCCTTGGAGCATTCTGTCATGAACTCTAGATCAAATAAAATCAACAATTTGAGTGCCACAGATTTGCCTATTTTCATTCACCTTTGCACCATATTTTCAAGTCCCTTTTTTCCGTTTAGGAACAAATCTTGTAAAATTGTTGGAGAAGCTCACCACTGTGAGCTAAAGTGACGCTCTTTCCTTCATCTGGAAGGGCAGTAACACTGTAACCACTGAAGCTTAGTGGTCAGTGTTCAGTGCTGCTTCACTTTTTCCATAACTACTCTTTGCCTTTCGCTTGGGAACTCACAAGCGCATGACTAAAAGTCTCATCTCTTCAGATGTAAACTGTTGCTGTTTATTGGTGACAGAGTTAAACATTGGCAGAGGAATGCATTTATTTCGCTCTCTGGACGGGCATCTTTAAAGACGTGACAGATGGATGTTGAATAGAGATTGACTTAAGAGGGTTCTGTGCGTGCGTGCACGCTCACACACACTACTCAGACCGACTGTGCAGAAAATACCAATGCCTAAATCTGAGAAATCTCCCATGCACAGATTTAAAGTATTTTAAGGCCTCGTTTCAGGTTTTATTGCTGGAATTGCAAGCATGGCATTAACTTTCTAACAGACTTTATCCTATGTTTTTTTTCTGGTTTTTTTCTTTGTTTGTTTGTATGTTTGTTTTTAACTGATTGTTTGTAACAGAATGGGAGTTTGCACACTAGATTTATAAAATTCAAGGGGAAATTTGGTAGTTCTCTACTTTCCTTATTCTCCTTTTTAAAGTGAGGCTTGATCTATCTGTTTTTCTTTGTCTATGTCAGTTGCTAGTCACATAAAAGCTACTGGTCAATCTTGTTGTTGACACAGTTGACAAAGGTATCAGTAACCTCATTAGCTGTATAAGCCTTAATTAAACCACTACTTCAAAGCTGCATCATTAGAGCATCATCCTGAAGTCTTGAGTATTTGATGGGCTAAAAAACAAGGCTACAACAGTTTCAGTGCACAATTTAAAAAAAAATAAAAAATGAATGTCTATAGCTACATCTGAGTTTGATACAAACTGATTAGTCTCTCAGACCTGTAATAGAGCCACAGTAAAGTGGGGTTTCTGCTCTGTTTTGCCATGGAGGGAAAACAAATCTGAGCTCAAAGAAGTGTCATGAATTTTTCATGAATTAAGACGGAGTCTCTCCAGGACCCCGCTCTGAATTATGAACTAATGCAGCTCTTAAAGAGCGCAGAATAAGTGATACATTCATTAGGACTTGGGGGGGAATCTCATAATAATTTAGTGATAAATACAGATTCATTCAAGTGTTCTTACTGTCTCGTATGATCGAAATAAAGATGCTAAGGAAAAAGCTGTCTTAGACCACACTGTCTTATTTTTACTATTAGGTTGTGGCCTTGTTAAAACTGACCTTGATTAGAAGAGAAGGAAGCCTTGCACATACCCGTCTGCCCAGGCAAGCACAAAATATTGATTCATATGTCAGGCATCCAGTGTATCGTTGTCTATTTTTGCCTGGAAGTGAGCAACTGAAACGAAGACCTAGAAAATAAAATCCCATATTAGTTTTGGTTTTGTTTTCTTAAAGAGCGAGCACATTTTAATTAACAGCAATATAAACCTTGGCTATTTGAATCTCAGCAGAAATACTAATTTATCAGTGTAGCCCAGTTGGCTTTCTAGATTGCTGTACCAATGAGAATGGGTTTTATCAGCCTGATTAGGGTTAATTAATTTAAGTGTTATTCCATCTGCTATTGACTGTAGCAATGGTCTAAACTGATTACATTTAAAAATATATTTTACAACTTTTAACATGTAAACGGTTTGAGTCCAGTGTGACTCGAAGATAGTTGAACTTGTTTTGCAGTGTCAGGCCCAAAACGGGAGCATTTTTAGTGACACTCTTTATATATGTCGTCCACTTTTTTGTAATCTCATTTATCTCACATCATTTTAAATAAACGAAGAGTCGTTATTTAATTGAATATATTGTGGCTTTTGTTTTTGTCTGTTTTGCAGGACTCAACGCTTTGCCTTTTGATCCAGCAGCCAACAACGACCCTCTTCAGTTCAACGGTTCCAGCGGACAGCTGGTGACCGACTGTCCTCCCTTGGAAAACACTGCAGAAAACAGCAAGAAGAGGAAGAGAGCCAGCCTTCCTCCAGGTACTAACAGCAGCTACCTCACAAGTTTTGCACCACTGCTGCAGGATTGCTCTATGGTCTCAAATCCTCATTTTGCCCTCAGCCATGTCAAATTTCTAAATGCAAGAGTTTGTAACCTCAAATGGAGAATACCCCCCTTCACTTAGGAGTGCTTTGATACAACAGTTATATTTCTTACCTTTCTCCCCTCCGTCTTCCTCTACCAACATCAAATAAGTGCAATGTGAATTGTTGCATAATCCTATTATTTGGCGGCAGTATGGAAAAGAGTAGCTTAGTTCAGTCTGTTGTTGTTTTCGATTACCTTGCCATGTCCTCGGGCTCTGGTTGTCAGGCCTGTTTGGAGGTCAGGCAGCTGCAGCAGAAAAAAAAATGCTCCGGTGAGATTGTGTGTACGCGCCTGACTGTCTGTTACCGTGCCAACACAGGCTGCCAATCACAGCTCCAACACAGCTTCAGTTTTCTCACACAAACACTGAACACAGGGAGGGACACACTGAGAAAAGTGCACACGCGTGCATGCGTTTATGTGAGGATGTGCTATAATTAAACAGTAATTTGAGTAAGTGTTGGTGTTTGCCTGGTAATGTGTCAAATTAAAAAAGGACTTTCTAATTAAAGAATTAAAGAAGTACTGACTAATTAATTGCTTTGTAAGTAATAGAACAAAAAGGCCCTTAAGACAGAGAGGTGTTGTTCTGTGAGCTCTGCTTTCGTGGCAATGCTAATTAATACTTCACATTAGCGCAGTCTTAATCGACTCTTCATCTTTTCCTCACATCTTCACATGAACGAGTCCATGACTTGATGGCAATTTAATTTAAATTCGCTGACCACGCTGAACTCTAATTGGGCAATGTATCTTAGATGATTGTAGAAGGGCGGGGTGGGTGTGTGTGTGTGTGTGGTGTGGGGGGGGGGGGGTAGTGAAATTGACACCACATGTTGACATGTGGGGGAAATAAAAGAAGGTAGCGATCGGTAAAAAGCCTTAAATTAGAAAATGCACCAATTACCAAAACACAATGCTTTGTATTATTGCAGGAGTTTGTTGGCTTAAGAGAAGTTGGCTTAATACAGCTTTTCAATTAAGAAAAAATGTCTCAACTGTGTTACAAACCTCCTAAAATTGATCTATACAGATAAGTTTATGAAGAGAGCATGTTGTGCAAATGTAAACAAACATGGAGCTTTTTCTTTTGTTAGATTCCAGTTTCTTCATGATCAATGAGCTCTCACTTGTTAGATTTCCCACAACAGCAGTGAGAACCAAGTATCCTACGGTCATAATGTCATTAGTTTAATGTGAAATCACTCTGTCAGTATGACCGTGCATTCACAGCAGAAACTGAGAATATTTAATGCATTGTTCTGCTGTCATGTTTAAGTCACATTAGACGAGGCAGAAATGTTCAGTATATTCAAAAAGTGCTCAGAGCAACAGTGGTAACAGTGTATAGAGTTATAGTTTTACGGTTACAGTATTTTGGCTCTGTGTAACTTGGTAATTCTGCACAAAGTTATTTATAGTATTATATTTATATTTGCCATTCTCTGAGAACTTGGTTTCTCCAGTATTACATAATACAAGGATGTGATCTTATACAGCCTGGGAACTCAACAGCAAGTGGCCTCAAGGGGCAATGGACAGTTTTTCAGAGCTTCCAGTGTAACCAGAGGATATCCTGGTCGAGAATTTCTATTTCTGCCTGTCAAAAAAGCAAAAGGAGATTTATTTATTTTTCTCATCCAGCTGAAGGACCCATGAGCTGATGTGGTGGTAAGGCATCCATCATCCCTCCATCCAACGCTCTACAGTTCACAAGAATCATAAGAATAAGCCTTATTCTCCCACATGGGAAATTTGTCTTGGGTAAACGGTGCTACACATAGCTGGATTATGCAAATCCAGCTATGTGTTCCTACAGCATTTTCCTACGAATGCTGTAGGAAAATCACCGCTTTTCCTACAGCATTCGTCCGATTTTTTTATTTATTAATTTTTTTTCTTTGTGAAACTCACCTGATGAATCTTCCTTCAAATTGTGCCCAGGGTTAAGATCGTATAAAATGGAAAAGTGGCTGTTATTTTACGTGTGGATGTCCATTTTCATAGGAATCTCAACTATTTTTAGAGTCTTGGTCAGATTTTCTGAAATGAGATTCTAATTTGTTTCGGATATAACACTTGCAAGCTTCCTTGACTCCTCTATGGACTTAAGTCCTCATTATTTTGTGCCGTACAGTCAAGCAGTGACAACAGAACTTGACACATTACAATAATCTGTGAGTTGCAATGGATCATTAGCTACTTTGTCATTCTCTAACCAAAGGTTGCTCAAACATAGTCTATTTTTGGAGATTTGATCTCGTATATTACAGTAATACTCAGTAATAATTGTTAATCATCAAAAGAACAGTTCTTAGAAATCACGAGTGTGCGTAAATTTCAGATTGTAAATAATATAGAGGACTGATCGTATTGCTATATACCTTTTACCAGTTTTTGCCATATTAAGTTACCTGCTGAAGCATTATTGCAGCACCGCACTAACATTGTACAGGAGCAGCCCACATTGTGTTGAAATTCCCAGTAATTCTTTTTTATGATCTGTCATTTACTTGGTGATATAGAGGAGCACTGGTTACCTCTTATGTTTGACCTCATCCCATTGTCGAACCTGTATTGACACTTCTTCATTGACTTTAAGTGTAGGGGTCTTTGCATTGGAAGTGTCTTAGGTTGGTGTCTCTCACTGAAAAGGACCCATTCAGCGTCAGACTGTCTTTAACTAGTTTCTTCTTCTTCTCTTGACTTTTAACGTGATTCTGTTGGACTACATTGAGTCCAAACTGACAAATCACAAATCTAGCTGCCCCATGTGCTATTCCAGAATTAAATTGGCTACAAATTAGCTTTGACTTGGCCTGGTATGACCTGAGTCTGTCAGTTATTTCTGCCTTCTTGGTTGGAGCCCTTGCAGGACTAGCAGGTAAATGGTGGCCTAGAGCAGACGGAGCTGTGAATTTATCGGCTTCTAGGGTTGGATTCTGTCTGGCTTTTGATTGTCTTCACCTGGTCAGGTCCTTGAGCCCTCTGAAGCACTGTGACTCATTAACAGCTGTATTGACTGAGTCTTGTTCAGAAACTCAAATAGAAAGAGTTTTCTCATTACATGTACAATTCATGGTACTCTAGTGGCATTATACAGCAGCCCCCTCAAATGTAACACAGCAGAATTGTCTTTCACTAACTGATTTAAAATTTAGGGAATTAACAAATGAACTAACTGAATGAAATAATCTTGCTTTGGAAAGATTTCATTTTTTCTGATGACATTTCTTTAAATCGTTAAATTGCCACACTAAGCAGACAGACACATAGGGGATGGAGCACTCCTCTCTTGTAAACAGTCAAAAAGTAACATTTGAAATTGAATTGATGTTCTGTGGACTCGGCCTTTAAATAGACACAGTTTGTCAGAGTCACTTCTCTCTCTGACTCGATGTGACTAACTCCATGTTTTTATTTACTTCAGTATGAAAAAGTTCCAGAGAAATTAAGTTCAGTGAACATCATATCACTTGGGAGGTCATTACCAGTTGGTTATTACAAAAACGAGATTATTGTTGAGCTTCTCTGTGCCCAGTAAAATTTTGTTATACTTTATTTAGTTTTTAAATGAAACACTAACGCACTTTTTCCCCAGCGACCATTCCCTCTATAGTTCGACTACACACTCAGCCACCATGTTTGCTCTTTATTTTCTTAGTCTTCTCTGTTTATGTGCACCCACTCTGTGCGTGTGCCTGTCTTTTAACCATCCATAATAAGTGGTGCCTTAGGGTTAGCAGGCGCACTGCACGGATCTTCCCTATACTGTTTGTTATCAGTTTTGCAACACAGCCAGAGATGCCCATTTCCCCTCAAGTCCTGCTGTGTTTAAGCTGCAGGTGGCGAAGAGAATGAGATTTTTAAAATGATGCTGCTCCTGTAGTGGAGCAGTTTTACCCTTTATAATGAATATAAATGTCAGTGTAGTAGCAACTGCACATGTTACATTGAATTATGTCGTGCCTGTTGCTCATGTTAATGTAATAGTAATGATAATCATAATTTGTGGAGCAGTTTCCAAAACAGTTTTGTGTGATTTAAAGAGAGCCAAAGTTATAAAGGCATTCTAATATTTTGTGATGTCAAACTAAAACTGAGTTACCAAAAAACCGAACAGCTGAAGGGGAAGATGGAAATCAATTTTATTTTTTAAGGTATTTCTGTTTAAGACTGTCTGTCATTTTTCAGGCCTTAAAATGAGGGTTTCCTCTGCTGTGGGGAGGCCCTGTCAACTCTGGTAATGAGGTGTGATTTCAATCGCAGCGCTGTGCCTCCAGCACTCTTTAACTAACATTCTTGATCTCATGCAGTCTACAGTGTGTTAGTGAGAGTTAACACAATACTAAGAAACACTCCTACTTAAAGGACTTTGAATTAAATGTATTTTCATGTAACCCAAATATGTCTGACATGAGGACAAACTCGTAAAGAAAGGACTATTTGGATTGGCGAGTTTAGTTAGCATAGTTTGACATCTGTATGTCCGCTGCAAGCAGTGTGTCTGCTCATTGCAGTAACAAATAACTTTGTGTGGAAAACGCTCTTTGAAGGAGAACACTTACCCTTTGGCTGATTGGGTTTCAAGCACCCTTGTAACAAGGTTGGTTGACTGGGAAAAATATTGAAGTGATCAGAGGGGAGGTATATTTTCAAACCTAAGGCCATGCGTGTGATTTTTATCCGACGCATTTCCAATGCCTAGATTAAAGAAATGTTTTTCTTTTTATTGTTTTTTTTTTCATTGCATGAAAATCAATTAATTAAATTTCAACGATCCAATCACGTATGCATTAACCTTTAGTGAGAAAGGAATTGAATAGAATCTATTGATTCTGCAGGAAAAAGGTTAATGCCATTTAGCCAAGGAAAATAAAAATACATGCTG